AAATAATCGTGATGAGTTTACAAACGAATGAAATAAAAGTAGCGAATGATAGTTTTTATATTATAGAGTTTTATAAATTCACATTGTTATAACACATCTTTCCTTCCGAGATGGTTTGATAAACAGGAAAATATATTAATCGTATCGAGTAGATTGCTAAGAGGTTGTCTAATATCCAACAGCATCGAACAGTCAATGATGGAGTTCCGGACACCATCGAAATTTCTCACCCACAAGAAATTCATAAGGCTCGTCTCAGTCAAAAGCGGTTTTGTTTGTAACTGAGAAAATACTAAGGCCATTATATGTTTAATTGTTTAGTAATACTAATTTAAAGTACTTAAGTAGCTAAATACAATAAGGCTACTTATTTTTCACAGCGTGCAATACATAGAGGAATTGACACACGTGCCCACTTGTTGTTTTGAGTGTACCAATCCCGAAACGTTTTGCTCAAGTGATTCAACTTTGTCATCACGTGGCCTCCATCTCTATATGAAGCTTTGTGATATCATAGATGACAGATGCTACTACAAACCAATGAACATTTTACTTGGAACGAAAAAAATGTCACTGCACTCCAGTATTGTTCTATTGGGCCTGGTAGCCTTTAATTATATTGATCAAAATATTTAATAAAATATCAATAATTTAAATTTCTACTTTATTTACGCTTCGAAAATATTGTAATTGCAAATAAAATAAAATTTAATGCATTTCCATTGCCTAAAGTGGGAAGAGTGTAATTTGGGCGGAAGTACTTTTAAGAATTTCATATTCATTGCATTTTAAAAGCTTTGAGTGTAGTCAGTTGTGATAATAAATAAATATCAAAATAAGGAAACTTTGTCTGTACGATATCTATAGTCTTATACCAAGGTCTTAGAATATAAGGTTGCCTGGTAGAGAAGAAACGCTTCTCATTGGTTGCTTATTTGACGTCACTCGTAAGCATCTTACCATGTAAACATCTTACTCCAAACCTTTGCTATTATACTCTCGCCTTTCGAAAACAAAAACCGACGGAAAATTCACGAGACTGTCGGAAGTGCCCGCCCGATAGTCTCGCGAATACTATAAAAGAATTGTTTCTGTGAGAAAAATAAAAGGCTGGAATTACAAGGGAAAGTTTCAAAGTTCGGAAGAATACTATACCGATTTATATATACCGTGTTAAACGTCGATGTTAACGACTCTCGCGCTCCGAAAAGTTTCGAATTGTTGTCTGAGACAAAGGAAGACCAATTGGTATTCATTATTTTTTGTCGCTTCATTTTGTGTTTTTCTGTGAGGTGTACGTTAACCGATCATTCACTGTATATACATTTGCCTACTTACTAACAACTAAACCTAGCTGACAAAGCATTTTTACAGTCATTCTCGAATTCAATGAACAAGGTAATTTCTCTCCGAAGGCAAGACAAGTTTTAATTTGTTGATGTGATAATTCCTATAAAATAACGATGTTTGAGCCGCTTAATGATTGAAATTTTAATTTGTTTCCTAGTGTTATAAACGAATTTAATGTGCAATTAAATACAGTGTCAATGTCCGTATAATAGATGTTGCCTTGTCCATTTATAGACGATTAAAATAGTCGTTAAAACGTTGCCTTGTTTTCTTCTTCACTTTTCCGATCGTCAAACTCTCGTTGTTCTATGTGACTTTAATGTAAGCGAAGTGGAACGACGAGTCCTGTGATACTATCGAAGTGTCTGTCTGTCAATTAAAAAAGAAAAAGCCGATGCGGGATGAAAAGTCAAGTCCGATGAATTAAGTCGTAGCCAGATGAAACGTCATTTGCAAGTGACAGAATGGTATTCGGTGAAAAGTCGACATCGGAAGATAACGTCGGTAGAGAAAAGTTTTTTCTACCTAAGCTTCTTCCGCTTCATGGATTATTGCACGATCACTTTTGACTTTTGCCAGTCGAGTCTTATCTCGCGTGATCGACACTACACTTCCGGGTATCGTCATTCAAGGTAGTCGACCACAGTCGAGGTGTTAATTTAATTTCATGTAAATTGTAAGATTTCTAATGAAGAAATAATTTTAAAAATATGATAGATGATCGTGTTAATTATAACAAAAAGTCACAAATGAATATTATAAAAAATTTCTATTAAATACATCTTCCAACTTCCATAATAATAATATTAATAAAGCTGTGTAAAATATGTATAAAAAATTTCTTTTGGATTACGTAGAAATTTTTACAAATTGAACAAATTTATTAAACCGACTGTAGAAGCTTTCTGTAGAAGAGAGTCGAGTTTGATAACTACTGACACAACTCTGAAATTTGTCTTAGACAAACTAAAAAGCCAGGACACAATCTTGAGTGCCAACCTTTCCGAGTCACTCCGCAAAAAAATCAGAGAACGGCGTCTTACAGAGGTCACAGGGATGCTGATTTACATACAGAACCCGAAGAAGTATGACCAAAAAGTTAGAAAGCCCGATTATTATTTCACAATGCCGAAAAAAATGTAATGCGCCAGGAGACGAAAAGTATGCTGAATCTTGTAAATACATATGTAGTGGAACAAGCAGCAATGGCAGAGGATATTACTGAGGTGGAGAACGATGATCCAGATAATATCTTCACGGACCTTTCGTACAAGTGAAAATTATAACAAAATTATAAAACTCTATAATATAAGGACTGTCATTCGCTTGTGAACTCATAACGATTGCTTTCTATTATTTCTCAATCGTTTTCCTGGGAGTGGTATAATGTTTATGTCTATTTATTTATTTTCCATTAAAATAGTAAAAATTATGCAACATTTATGCAACTCTTGTATTTTACTCGTACTGTATATCCAACTAGCAGGTGGGCCCGGCGTTGCTCGGGCAAAAGTAACGATAACTAAGATAAAGATTATTACGTTACAGTCAACCTTACCCGTTTTCACAGAATGCAAGAATTGGGTCCCCTTGTTTCCAGACTAATTAGAGAACTTTTAGATGGGTCTAAAAATATGTTCGATTTCCCGCAAAAACGAAAAAAACTGCATCTGCGTATTGCACGTCGCTTTCTCTTAACAATTCCATTGTTACGTAACATTTCCATTGTTGACACTTCCATTGTTACTTAAAACTTTTATTGTTACTTAAAACTTCCATTGTTACTTAGCACTTCACATTGTTACTTAACACTTCCATTGTTGATGGAAGTGTTAAGCCTTAATCCTGTCCCTCTCCCCCGTGGGGAGGAATTTCGAAAAATCCCTTCTTAGTGTGCGTTCTCCTAACGTACCCTAACTGTGTACCAAATTTCAGCTTCCAACTCCTAACCGTTTGGGCTCCGCACTTATTAATATTATTATTATCATCAACCCGTCTCGATTATATTATAGATTAGTGTTATGTATGTATTGTCAGGTCGTATTTAATAACTCGTGTATCCTTGATTTTAATGCATTTATTTTCTTATTTTTATCTCTGCTTCTGATTTTTTAACTTATTGTACTTTATTGTATCCTCTGTAGCCTATTCTACATGATTAAGCACGTAGAGTAGGTTAAGCACGTGGTTAAGCACAGCAGTACCGGAAGGAAAAGTAAAAATAAAAATAGGCGAGAAATCTTATAAAGAATAATTAGTGACTTTTTTTATTTTGTAAATACACAATATGCAATAATCATTTACCCAGGAATTTATTATTGAGTTGTAATCAAAGTTATTATTTAAATAGTTCAAAAGTTTGTGTTAGGACCGAACATGTCTGTAGCGGACGAATCCTGACCAAAATTTTTGGGTATGCTGAAAGTTGTAACAAGAATAATAGGCCTATATCTAGCACCAAAAAATAGGCACCTAACGTTATTTGGAGTGAATAAAAAAGTATGGACTATTATAAAGCACATTATATCTACACATAAAATATATGAAATATGTTATACACATAAAATATATGAAATATGTTATAATGAAAAAGTATTAAAAATTTATGATAATAATTCAAATTTTGTGGGCCCTTGACACTTGTAGCCCAGGGCTTAAACCCTATTTATCTCTATGTAAATCCGCTCCTGTACACAACACATGTATGCTGCCTGGGTATCGCAAGCTTTCGATACAATCTGGCCTTGTTAAATACTTCGAATGACGTCATGCGCGCGCACTTGTTTGCTGCGTACAACCTCCATATGAACAAGCGATCTAGTTCCCGCAAGCATCGCACTGACTTGAAACGATCTGCCGCTAGCTTTGAATTTAAAAGCAAACACAAATGATAAAGAGTTTACACGTTAGAATGAATAGAATAAATTATTGTTGGCATATTTGTTTTCATATAAAGTATAATGACAGTCAGAACTTTCTCTTAAGCATGCGGCAATGCTAAGCAAATCCAGAGAATTCGCTTTTAGTCTGTATAAACTTTAAGTGGATAGCTTTTTCTCGAAGTTTTTTATTTTGTGTTGGGTATTTAGAAGGTTAAAGAAATGTTTGCATTTTACAAGCTGTGAGTATAGTGAATCATAATCAGAAAATGGCAACCCACAGACGATGCGTGGTTACTTTTATATCTATAGTTTTAGTTACTCGGAATTTTAGGAGTATTGTGATTTATTAAAAGATATGTGGTTCTATTGCAGATGGAGAGAGACGGAAGAATGTACAGTTTTCGTGTAAATCCACCTTTAGACTGCAGAGGGCAAAGAGGTCAAGGGTACTCTGAAGGATTCGAGATTCCATTTATATGAGAAATCCCAAACATTTTTACTGATGATTTAATCTGAATGTGTCGCACTCTGTCCCTCAACACCCGGCCATCACATTGATGGGCTTGGCCGAACTTATAATAGGTCTGGAAAGAAAAGTTTACTTCGTCTGTACAATGTAAATAAAGCAAAAAAATAAAATAAATACAAATAATTGAAGTGAAATCGAAAGTGAGATTTAAATTTATTTATTTGAAATTCGAATATATAATTTGCATTAAAAATTTAGCATTATACAATAAGAACGAAATCGAATTTCAGTATTTGTGTTCAAAATTCGGGTACGACATCGAAGCAGATGTACTCAAATTCATCTTGCAATTTCAATCCAGATTGCATATATTTAAAATTTTGAATTTCTTCGAGTGGATTATAGTAATTTTCCGAAAGACTGATTCTTATGTTATTTTTGGCATTGACGTGTACCTCAACAATGCTAACAAGGAATCGGCAAAATGTAAACTTTAGAATCCGTAGAGGACGACTCAATGAAATATATCCGTTCGTATTACATGCTTTATTGAGACGCAATCTCATCCGGAAGATCAAGTTAGGATAAAAACACAAATTTACATTTATACCTTCTTCATTGCAATGTGTTACAGGAAGATGCAATTTGTTAATGAAACAATCTTCCTTCGCAACTATGTCACATATGAATCGAATATTTGTATTCATTATTTTTACTTTGTTAATAAAGTATGCACTTCTATTCACATAACACAACCAGGAAGAGAGCAATTCGTGCTTTCTTGGGCATTTAATGGCACAAATACTGTCCGGAATAAACCACGTTTCGTCGAAATCTTTATTTTGCAAGTAACATCTTATTGCATCTCTCTCTACGTCCGTTAATATAGGTTCAACGAACACTTGAGATTCCAGAAACCATTCTGGCATTGTCAGAAATCGTATGTATTGCAGGAATGGTTTCATCACCTGCCTTAGAGAATTTTTATTATTAATTCTTTTCTTGTCCCATTTTAAAACTATTGAGAAGACATCTGCTTCCTCAATAAATTGATTTATTGGCCTGCGAACGAGTCTATTCATTGTTGTTGCTTCACAGTTTAGCCATTCGTCCGATGAGAAAATTTCCTGCCATTCCGAACTTAATATATTCCAGCATAAATATTCTAATGTCTCATCATCTTGTTTACAAGCGAATTCATATACATAACACACGTTCTTAACTCTTGACGGAATGGTCATGAATTCTCGACATGTTTGATTTAAATAACGTAGGCCTAATCGATTGCTTATGCAGAATATGTCCATCGCATTTTGCATTGATTTTATGTTTCCTTTTCCATCCTTAAGATATCTGTAAACAGTCAATGCGATTAAATCGGAACTATAATTAGAACGATTGTATATGATTTAAATTTGATGGTAATTACCGTTACAGCAGAAAACATTATTGATGTAAATTAGAATAAGTCATCGTAAGTATTTAAAAGATAATTACATATACTCACTTTTTGATTTGTTGCAAAATTTCCGAGGAGTACGGCAAATAAAGAAAGACTGATGTTTTGTTTGCGTAAGGAAGTAGCATCATTTTTATTCTATTGCTATGTTCACATAGAACGGATTTTGAGAGAATGATCTGTCGTTGGTCCTTGCAACGTGTTGTAATTTGATTCATGATATTAAGTAAATTTTAAATTAGTAAGATAAGTAATATAAAAAAATATTATTGAATTTAGAGTATTGTTTCGTTATTAATACATTGTTACATGCATGGAGTATAAAATATCGGCTGATCGTAATTAAAATACCCAATGTAATGATGCCAATAAAATTTATTTAGCGTTCTAACCAAATAGAGTATGGTGACATTTCAGAACATCAGGAAGACATTTCGGAAAAAGATATTTTCTGTAAAGGCATTAACAAATTCGACTGACAAAGCTTAGGACGAAAAAGCTGCATCACCCATATATGGGTAATATGACAGTCAACATGACTCTAGGATAAGTATTAGAGTTTCTCAAACGGGATCCCGGCTGGTTTTTTAACCCGGGAAATTCTTTTTATCACGGAAAATCCCGCAAATTTTTTCGAAGTTTAATTTTTGTGTGTGTTAAAGTTGAGAAAATTTTGCAAATCGAAAATATAATTAACTCACAAACTGTTAGAATATATTTGTATTTGTTAATTTTAAGCATGCTTATTAGTTTTTTATATTTTTGCTTGTTATGACACGTCACAGATTGTCAATAATCAACATGTAGTTTATTTGTGACAGGATTCTGCAAATTCTTTACTTGTCAGAACCTGTAATATTTTGAATAATTGCGCCGATGCTGTCTTAATTTTATCTGTTAATTATACCCAGTAGTTTCAATAACTGCATTACGCCAGATTGTGCAAATTGTGCAAGGATACAAACGACTAACGAAGTGTGCAACTATGAAATTTTTCTTCACAAACTTGATTATTAATTCCAAACGAACTGCCGAATTATCTGGCTGTAACCTTAATGCCGCTATCAAAGCAACCGAGGTAGACAAATGAAGAATACGTGAGAGCAAAGAAGTACTGCAACGCATCTCCAACATTGAACCCGTAGCAATGTTCGATGCTACGAGTACAAAAACACGTAACATTTGTGTTTTCCTAAAAGCATTAAAGACGATTCTTCCCAAATCCATTGAATTGGAAAGGGCATTTACAGCAGCGGGACTTTTCATTATTAAAATAATAACCAGGTTGTGTGATCGGAGTATTGACCATCTTTGATTTTCAAAATCTTATAAAAATCTACAATAATATTTTGTATTATGTTTTATTTAAATAACGAAAATTACTTTGTAAGTTAGAAGTTTGATCTAAGTTTATTTTTTTAAATTTTCAACTCAGTTTAAAGGCATTTTTTTGTAAGCTTTTATAAGTTTTTCTATTTGTGAAAATTTCTACGTAATTCAGAGATGATTTTAATATATATTCTACACAGCATTATGAATATTATAATTTTGGAGATTGCAGAACTTATTAAATTACTTTTAAAAATGAAAAACTCGCGTGACGTAACGTCGCGATTTCCTTGTCCTGTGAGACTCGGTAGTGTCAGATTCAGGTCTCCTGTATCCTGTATTTAAAGCATCTTTTTTCTGCTGATTTGAAGGCAACAGCATCTAAAATTTCATTATGTTTTAATTTCTTTTCTTCTGCCATCAGTTTTGCTGTTAAATTTGTCAGGGTTCTTTCTTCAGATGGAGTTTATTCCCAGGCTGTTTCAAAGTATTTGAATTGGTCTGGCAACGTTGATAAAATTTTTGAAATTATCATATGATCATCCATTTGCTGAATTACAGATTTTAATCTAAAAGCAAGATTTTAGTTCTTCTTTCATAAGTATATGAGAAGAATTGCTGCATGAGCTGGCACTTCTCTTTTTCAGTGTCTCTGCTGAACAATAAATACAGTTTATCAAACATCTTTTTTGTTGTTGAACAGTTTATGATGTGTGTAAGTAATTTTTTACTGATTGTTGTAGTTTTAATCTTCTGAGCACTTGCATCTTTTTTCAACCAACTTGACTTTTGTTCAAGCATTTGACCCTACGGTCACAATAGGGATACTGTGTTTCTGTAAGAAGCTGACTTCCAGGGCAACCAGTTAATTGCTCGTCAGTGATGGTGTAGGGTCCATTCGTATTTGTTTGTTCGAAAAGACATCTGTAAATGTATTTTAAGTATTAAAATTTCATTTTTAATCGCTAGCGACGATATGAGCTAAAATTAAAAATAAAATAATGAAAACTTACTTGCTTTAAACTCGATATATGTAACAATGTATTAATAACGAAACAATACTCTAAATTCAATAATAAATTTCTTTATATTATTTCACTTACAAATTTAAAATTTACTTATTATACATGGATCGCATTACAGTACATTGCAACGATCAAAAGCAGATCAATGTCGCAAAATTCGTTTTATGTGAACATAGCGACAGAATAAAATCGCTGCTACGTCCATATTTAAACAAAACCTCAGTGCTTCTTTACTTAACATACTCTCCGGATATTTTACAACAAATTAAAGAGTGAGTTTCTCTAATTATCTTTTACATACTTACGTTGACATATTCTAATTTTCATCAATAATGTTTTTGCTTTAACGGTAATTACCATCAATTTTTAATCATATACAGTCGTTCTAATTATAGTTCCGTTTTAATCGCATTTTCTGTTTATAGATATCTGGAAGAAGGACGAGAAAACATAAAATCAATGGCTAATGCGATGGACATATTATGCGTAAGCAAACGATTAGGCCTGCGTACGTTAAATAAAGTATGTCGAGAATTTATGACCGATCCGTCAAGACTTAGGGACGTGTGTTATGTATATGAATTTGCATGTCAACTGGATGATTGCAGAGTAGAATATTTCTGCTGGAATATATTAAGTTTGCAATGGCATGAAATTTTCTCATCGGACGAATGGCTGAACTGTGAAGCAACAACCATGGAAAGACTTGTTCGCAGGCCAATAAATCCATTTATTGAGGAAGCAGATATTTTCGAAGTTGTTTTAAAATGGGCCAAGAAAAGAGTTAATAATGAAAAATCTCTTAGGAATGTCATGGAACCATTCCTTCCGTACATACGATTTTTGTCAATGCCAGAATGGTTTCTGGAATCTCTGGTATTCGTTGAACCGATTTTAACAAACGTAGAAAGAGATGCAATAAGATGTTACATGCAAAATAACGATTTCGAGGAGACATGGTTTATTCCGGACAGTATTTGTGCCATTAAATGCCCAAGAAAGCACGAATTGCTGTCTTCCTGGTTGTCTTATGTAAATCGAAGTGCATATTATATAAACGTGATAAGAAAAATGAACACAAATATTCGATTTATATGCGAAATAGTTGTTAAGGAAGATTGTTTTATCAACGAATTGCGTCTTCCTATAACACATTGCAGGGAAGAAGGAATAACTGTAACCTTGAATTTTTCTGTTAACTTGATTGAAATTTTGGAACACTATCTCAAAAAAGCATGTAATACGAACGGATATATTTCATTGACCTGTCCTCTACGGATCTTAAAGTTTAAATTTTATCGATTGATTGTTAGAATTGTAAAGAAACACATCACTGCAGAAAATGACATAAGAATCAGTCTCTTGGAAAATTACTACAGTCCGTTTGAAGGAATTCAAAGTTTTGAATATTTGCAATCTGGATTGAAATTGAATGATAAATTGGAGTACATCTGCTTTGATGTCGTACCCGAATTTTGAAGACGGATACTGAAATTCGATTTCGTTTTTATTATATAATGCTAAATTTTTAAACACAAATTATATATTCGAATTTCAAATAATTAAATTTAGTTTTCACTATTGAAATTTCTTTAATTATTCAAAATTATTTTATTTGTATTTATTGCTTTATCCACCTTATAGACACAAAGTAAACTTTATTTCCTGGTCTATTATAAGTTCGGCCAAGCCCATCAATATGTAAGCCGGCCGGCTTGGTGTTCAGGGAATATACTCCCGGCTCAAATTAAAGATTTTTTTTCACTTTTGGTAGCAGTAATTAGTTCATATAAAGTGAAATTTAATGTATTTTCTAATGAAAAGAAAAATGGAAACTGGACGTTTAAATTATTGATATTTTATTAAATATTTTGTTCAATATAATTCTGTGGCGGCGATGTTTTCCAGCGTATCTAATTAGAGCAATAATGGAATGCAATGTTTTCTAATCGCAGTTAAAGTTCAAGTAAACTTTAAATGTAGAGTTTGCAAGAAATTGACATTCACAAAATCGTATAACATTAACGGATTTGGTTAACTTTTACTACAGATGATTGCCGGCTTACAGTTAAAATCGGGAGTTGACTCCTGGGCAATCGATTTCTTGTTTTTCTCTGCTATTAGATCACACGATTACTTAATTTAAAATTTAAACATATCATTTTATAATTATTAAAGTACCTTAATATTTATTTAGTGGATATATGTATTTGTAAGTATTGTTAAAATATATATAAATATAAATATAGTTTAGACTTACGAAGCACGAGTTATGAGTTATGAATTATGTGTAACTGTAAGGTTGCCGACAGGGTGCAAAAATGTCAAGAGGGTCGAGCGGTCGCGATCGGTCATATGTGGGCGATCGGCACTCTACGGTCAGTACCGTAACTAGCCATTTTTGTGCCCTGTGCAAGAATTTGCATTTAGGCCCTTAATTAATTGGGTTTGGGAAAATAATAAAACAAATACATGCATTTTGGCCCCCCCTTCCAAGTGGCCCTATGCGGGTGCACGTATTGCACCTGCCTAGTTACTGCATTGTCTACGGTTACAAGAAACCGTTTATTTGACACCAAAGAAGCTTACAAGATTTCCGCGATCTTGGAAGTTCTACGTCGGCAGCGGCCTCTGGGTCTTCCTCTCCTTTCCAAGATAGTTCTATTTCGAAGGGGTGTCCCTGGTTTGCGAATGACCAATTCCATCGACGTCTCAACAACTCCGGGACGATGGGTCGACTTCCGTTGATGAAAAGATGTCAATCCGAGGTCGGGAGATGGAGACGAAGATGGGCACGAGACACACACACCACAATACATCTGCCACTTGGAACTTTCGGGAGAAGAAGCCGTCACGTTATTGATTTCTCAGGTTTTATCCGTTTTCCTCCGATTTCACTTTTCGATCGGTCTCTCCTCGTCACCTGGTGACAATTTGAAACCTTTCGGGGGCGCTTGACAGGTCAAAAACGAATTTTAATTCGATTCCCATCCGGAGATAGTTGATCTTCGTTTTTCCATTGTTGTATTGTTTAAATGTTCTTAAAAGTTCGTTTTCATCAAGAAAAATTATTTCTAACTTCTTTTTTTTCTTAAAAAAACAAGATAATTTTGTCCTTAAAAATAAATGTTTTTAACGCGAATTTCAGTGAGGTTAGGACCTGTCCAGAGCCTCACGTAACGAATTATTTTCAAATTAGGAAAAAAAGTGTTTTGGAACAATGTAGAGTACCATCGTTAATTACTGTGTCAGAAGCGTTAAACAAACACATCAAAGAATAGCAGTTATTCGAAAACAAATTCTTTCGAAGAACTTTTATACTTTTTTGTTTTAATGTTTATTGTATTTAATGTATAATATAATCTAATTTTAATTTATGTAATTGTTGTTTTTGTTTATTTGGGGATAGATATCAGAGGAAAAGTCTTGCGACATAAACATGAATGTCGCAAGACTTTTCCCATTGAAATCGAAAATAAAATAAATAGACTTAAACATTATACCAATCCCTGGAAAACGATTGTCAAATAGAGGGGGTGCAGTCACGTGATATAACGTCATCGTCCCGCCCACCAAAACAATCGTCCGCCATATTGGTTGCTTATTTGACGTTTGCTCGCTCGTTCGCTTATTATGTCAACGTGGAAGAAAGGCATCTTACCTGGCTATGCAGCCGATTTAAAAGATAATGATTTGATAGAATATAAAGAAAAAATTTCTTTTATTGGATGGGATCCATACGAAATGAAACCAACGGATTTTTCATCTAACGATTTAAGCACGTGGACCACTATAGAACATGGAGACATAGTAAATTATTTAGTTTTAACAATTAACGCTGTCACACTAGATCAGATGAAGGCATACAAATCACTCCATGCTCATAATTATTTGACAAGCGGATTTATTCATCGAGAAATTTTGTCAAGATCCGTTCGTAATGATTTAATTTTGCTTGTAGGAAAGGTACGTATCTTCATTTCAGATTTTCCATTTCTCATAACATAAACTGAGTTATATAAAGACGAATTTAATTTTATATTTAGTCACATTTTAAGTTGATTAAGTTGTATTTATAATTACCATCAAATTTTTTATTTTGTCCCCATGGTTTTGTGTTGTGCGAGTCTAACAACCTATTATTAAGATTAAATTAATTAGCCTAAATAAACCCTCCTATTTGTTATTTGCCATATTTATCATATCAGGGACTGACTGGAGCAGAATAGACTAAATTTTTACAAAAAAATAGCCTTTAATTAACCACAATCAAATTTTTAGTAGAATGCATTTCAAGCTTCTCATCAGCATATTTCAGGCACAAACACCCAAGTCAAGCCTAATACATCCATACAGAGATGCTTGAAATGCATTCTACTAAAAATTTGATTGTGGTTAATTAAAGGCTATTTTTTTGTAAAAGTTTAGTCTATTTTGCTCTAATCAGTCCCTGATTTGATAAATGTGGCTATAATAAATTGGAGGTTTATTAGGCTAATTAGTTTAATCTTAATTTATGTTGTGGGCTAGAAGTGTGATTTAATAACCTATTATTGTTTAAATATATTATTAGAAGTAAATAGCACAGTTTCTTACATTGTTTTTGTACACAGGTTAATTAATCACTCACAAAATCTACGGCAGCCAGCTTCAGTAGTGTGGGTTTTAGCTAAGAAAAATGAAGAGGTGATAACTGAGCATTGCAATTGCGTGGCTGGACAATCTTCTTCCTGCTCTCAAGAGGAGCAATTGCCTCATGTCTTTTAACTCATTAAAAGACATGAGGCAATTGCTCCTCTTGCTACCAGAGACTAGAAAAGTTCTCTCTACACTGGACTATAATTTCTCAAGCAACTCTCCAGGTGTTCTCTGTATCAAAGGTGCTTATCGCTGCCATATACTCTCTGTCTATAATTCACGACCATATATTGTATTTAATCACCTTCACACATGTTCCTTATTCTTTTTATTTTGTTTACACATCAACAGGACCACTTTACATTGTGCAAATTTTCTGCAGCTCCCTGCTGCCTTTCTTTCTTGTATCCATATGTACTGTACATTTCCTGGCCCCGCTGTAGAGCATTACCAGGAAAAATTTTACAATAAGTGAATATATAGTATACTTAAGATTGACAGAATATCATAAAGTAATAATAAGATAAACTTAAAACTAAAATAACAAAGAAAACAAATATTAAAACAAACAGTAAAGTTTACAAACATATAAATCACATGGAGGTCGACAACCAAACCAACAGCAACCAATATGGAGCGCGCTTCGTAAGCGGAGTCGGGTGACGTCACGTGCACTCCCTCCATACTAGAACGCAATCTCGATGAGTTCACAAGCGAATCATGTGGAACTAGCGAATGGTAGTCGTTATATTATACAGTTCTATAAATTCATATAAATATTATAACACATCTTCGTTCCTGAGATGGTTCGATTAACAGGAGAAGAATGACACAAGAGAAATATATAATCGTTACGAGTAGATTACTAAAGTCCTTCCTTGATCTCGAGAACGGTGTTAGATAGATGAAATTCGAGACCAGATGTGAAAAGATTGGGTGGCCCGGATTAACTATATACAAACGGTCTAAAACGGGAGTAATGTGATTTCAATTGAAAAATTCTTTCGATAGTTACATACATGACAGGCATGATTATGTCATTATTAGGAAAACTATGACATATAGGGGCGAGACACTACTAATTTGAGATCGAGAAAATATTTTTTAAATTAAATATATTCAAATGTAAACAAGCCACAATAACTTTTACTCGTTTTGAAATAACTTTTTTCCAGAGTAAAGACGCATGAATGATGATAAATAATATATGATGAATATAATTAATGTTATAAATAGTGAAGATTAAAATATATTTAATGAACAACTTGAAGCTAGTGGTGTCATTTATGGATTGTCGTGTATATGTCCATGCCCAAAATATTATATTGGAGAAACCAGAAGGAAATTGAAAGTGCGGTTGAAAGAACATGAAGCCGAAATTATGTTAAAAAGGCAGGAATCTCCGTGGTATTTACATTGTAATCAATATGACGGTAAAATGGATAGAAATAATATTAAAATATTATATAAAGTTAAAAATTGTTTTAAAAAAGAATTGTAGAACATTTTTGTATTATAACATATGCAAATGTAATAAATTTGAATAGGGAATGAATGTAGATGCATGTTGGGAAGAGATTACCATACATTAAATGAACATCAATCGGCAGTTAATTGTATCCACTGATCAGGCTTTATTGTAAGGCTCATCAATGGCCTAGCCAGGTCTTCGGGCCAAGCGATGATGGCTATTTTTGTGAATGGTCGATATCTGCTTGGCACCTGGGCTGGGGGACTTGTCGCGCACTGGCTAGGGTATTGTACAGGGGTAGTTGTACCCGATGTCAGACCGGTGGTACGGGTCGAGGCATTGCTAAACTTTGGCCAACATAGCCTGGTATTCGGGCAAGGTGATGTTGCGATTTTTTGTGCTTGTAGCTACTTGCTTGGCACCTGGGCTTGGGGATTTGTCTCCCACCCAATAGGGGTGTTCTA